CAAGCGGTCCTGGGGAATGGGTCGAGGCTTCCGGACGTCCCGCATTGAAAAAAACACGACACCGGATCTCGGGGGAGGCACGACTGGGAGGTCTCCCTCGGAAAGATCCCAGAGATCCAAGCGGTCCTGGGTTGGGCGCAGCGTAATTGGGGGGGTCATAAATGGGGGTGTGGCGAGGGTGGCCCGAAAAGGTACCCAAACGGTACCTAAACGAGCCCCCTGGGGCTCTGGAGGGGCCCGAAAGGGGCACGAAAGGGGACCTTTTCTGACCCACCCATTTGTAACCCCCCCATTAAGCCACGCCCAACTGGGGAATGGGTCGAGGCTTCCGGGGGTCCCGCATTGAAAAAAACACGACACCGGATCTCGGGGGAGGCACGACTGGGAGGTCTCCCTCGGAAAGATCCCAGAGATCCAAGCGGTCCTGGGGAATGGGTCGAGGCTTCCGGACGTCCCGCATTGAAAAAAACACGACATCGGATCTCGGGGGAGGCACGACTGGGAGGTCTCCCTCGGAAAGATCCCAGAGATCCAAGCGGTCCTGGGGAATGGGTCGAGGCTTCCGGACGTCCCGCATTGAGAAAAAACACGACATCGGATCTCGGGGGAGGCGACGACTGGGAGGTCTCCCTCGCAAAGATCCCAGAGATCCAAGCGGTCCTGGGGAATGGGTCGAGGCTTCCAGACGTCCCGCATTGAAAAAAACACGACATCGGATCTCGGGGGAGGCGACGACTGGGAGGTCTTCCTCGGAAAGATCCCAGAGATCCAAGCGGTCCTGGGGAATGGGTCGAGGCTTCTGGGGGGCCCGCATTGAGAAAAAACACGACATCGGATCTCAAGGGAGGCGACGACTGGGAGGTCTCCCTCGGAAAGATCCCAGAGATCCAAGCGGTCCTGGGGAATGGGTCGAGACTTCCGGGGGGGCCGTATTGAAAAAAACACGACATCGGATCTCAGGGAAGGCAACTACTGGGAGGTCTTCCTCGGAAAGATTCATCGGCAGTGCAGAAACCTCCCTTCAGTCAACCTCCCCTTAGTGACAACGGCCTGGGGCCGAAACCGACGGACCTGGACCCGCAAAAATGACGGCCGCGACGCCCTCTCGAGAACTGAAAATGGCCAATTCATTAATCGACGCGTCAGGGTAGGAGGTCTATCAACCCCCGATGGGAGGTCTTCCTCGGAAAGTCTAAAGAGGCTTGAGCTCCATTGGGGGGGCTCTCACGCCTGAGTGGGCCTCGGACTAAGCAGGCTTAAGCCGGATTACGTGGGATTAAACGGGATCAAGCTGGATTAAGCGGGATCAAGCCGGACTAAGCTGGAGTTCAGACCAGGGCAAAATCAGAGCTTGACCTCCCAGGAATTGCATCCGAAGCTGGGGTCATCGAAGCCAGTGGGCGCGAAGCCTTTCGGCGCTCGTCGTCCGTCCACGGGAGACCCGAAGATAAGGTCGGGCATGTCCTCCTACAGGCGGCTTTTGGGCGAAAAAGATACAAATAATCAAAACATGCCGTCAAAGAATCAAGAATTAATCGGAAAATCGTCTCCAGACCAATTTGTAACTATTTTTGAAATTCCTCCTGTAGAGGGACATGCCCGACTTAACCCTGAGATCCTGGCGCTGCAGCTGTTGCACCACGGGCGTTTTCGCCCGATGCCGGGCCCCAGGACCCTCAAAGATCGATCCGGCTCGAAGAATGGCACAGAGAGCTGGGGTCCGTCCCTCCGGGCGTGATTTTATGTTGCAGTGTTTTCGCAACGTCCGATCTCAAGGGACGTGAACCCCTCGTCGTCCACGAGAGAGGTTCAATCTGCAGGTAAGACCCTTCGCAGGGTGAATGCCTTGACGCTCGCCTCGCCCACCGGAGGGCTAAATCTGCATATATATAACCTTCCTAGGATCTCGATGTCCGCCTCTTCCGTCAACCGACCACCTCGCCGATCCTGGCTGGCTGGGCCCATCCTGGCGCGGGCATCGCAACCCAGACCCGCGATGCCGTGATCTCCTCGATGCGGAGCCCCTGGATCTCCCGACCCCTGCCTTAGGGCCCGTGTTTCATCCCGAGTCGTTCTTTGACGGTCCATGGGGCCCGGCGAGGGCCCTTCTGGGGGCCGACAACGGCCAAACCCCCCCCGCCGTGATTTTCTCGTTGCGGCGCGAGCATGTCCCTGGGATCCAGGAACTCGTCCAGTGCTGGGGCCTGGCGAGGGCCAGTGGGGGCCGACGACGGCCTAAACCCCGCACCCCGTGGTGATTTGTTTCGTTCGAGGCGCGACATTCTCATGCGCGGGCTCGGGGCGCACGGTTTCCCCCGGGGCCAGAGGCGACCCGAGGAGGAGGAGGAGGAGGAGGAGGAGGAGGAGGAGGAGGAGGAGGAGGAGGAGAGGAGGAGAGGAGGAGGAGGGAGGAGGGGGAGAGGGAGGAGAGGGAGGAGGAGTAGGAGGAGGAGGAGGAGGGGAGGAGGAGAGGAGGAGGAGAGGAGGAGGAGGAGAGGAGAGGAGGAGGGGAAGGGGAGGAGGAGGAGGAGGAGGAGGAGGGGAGAGAGGGAGGAGGGGAGGAGGAGGCCCCGGCCCGAGAGAGGAGGAGTGAGAGGAGGAGTGCTGGGAGATCGGCGGGGCCGAGGGCCCCCGGCCTGGACTTCTCCCCCACGGGTGCCGCCACCTGCTGCCGCGGCGTCGGGCCGGCCCTGGAGGAGAGGTCGGGCGTGCCCTCCTGCAGGCGGAGTTTGGATGAAAAATTACAAAATACCCCAAAAATGTTCACAAAGAGTCAAAAATACCCCCACAAATACCCCAAAGATACCCCAAAAATTTTGGATGAAAAATTACAAAATACCCAAAAATACACCAAAAATGTTCACAAAGAGTCAGATATGGCTGAAAAGTCGTCCAGACACTATTTTCGGACGGTTTCTGAATATTCCTCCTGTAGAGCGACGGGCCCGACAGAACCCTGGGGGGCTGCGGAGCGGAGCCACAGGACAGTGAGTCATCCGAAACCGAGACGCAGCCTGGACATGACATGGAAGCATACCTTAAAATCAGGTGCAGACCACGCGAGCGTACCATGAGTGGATGGCCGGCGTGGTAAAACCGCGGCATGGGACGCACGCAGACATACCAGCACGACGCGTCCTCCTCGGCAGGTCTGAACCTAAACAGCGTGGTTCGTTTTCGCTTTGTTGCCGTTTTCCCTTGTTTTGCCATCAATCCACCTCTACCGCAAAACAAAGTCGAAACGAAAACGGCCCACGAAATCGCCGAAACACCGTCTAGGTCCAGCCCTGCTCCTCGGAGGCGCGCGTTCGACTCGGTCATGTAGAGCAACAGCCATATCGTAGCACACAGTTTCCCGAGCGGCATGGCCAGATAGCGCCTGCCGCGGAGCTTCTACCATGAAGTTCCTCGGCGTGCGCGTCGCCCCCGGGGGGGAGGCGGCGCAAACACGGTATCGGTATGTTGGGGTGACGCCGACGTCAAGGAGATCATTCGCCTGCGGATGGGGGTCAGACGTCTGGGGCGCAGACTCGTCGGAGGACACACTGACGAAAACAGGGTTTCTGACGCAACTGCCGGCCCGGGCGAGAAAATGCCCAGAGGAAATAAGCAGAAAACCCAAAACTGCCAAAATCCAAAGAGTCGACCTTACATCTCCCTGGCCCCCAAAAAGCTGACCCGCGGCGCCCGCGCGGGGTGCTCATCGTTGCTGCCGCCCTGGGGGCGGAACGGTTCGGCGCTGGGCTCGCAGTGTGTGCGGCCGACAAAAAAACAACATGCGCTGGGCCAGCGGCCGTCTGGCCGAATCCCGACCACCCCGCCCATTGGATGAGGGGCAACGATAGGGGCGGACTGGCATAGGGGGAGAAGCATCGACCTGGAATCTGCGAGTTACATCGCCGATAGATCGGCCCCTGACCCCCGATCGGTGAATCCGCACATTCCTGGGCCTGGGCAAGCTAGGGCTATCCGGCCCCCATCGGCGATCAAAGGGCGCTTGGGAGTCGACGCATCCCCCCCCTATGAATGAGGAGGAGGAGGAGGAGGACGAGGGGGAGGAGGAGGAGAAGGAGAGAGGAAAGGAGAAGGAAGGAGGAGGAGGAGGAGAAGGAGGAGGAGGAGGAGGAGGCCCCCCTTTCGTTGCCCCTGCATGGAGAGGGGGGCCTGGCGCGGGCACGCGGATCGCTGCCACGGAGGGGGGGGGACCGCTTCGTGGCCCGCCCCCGCTGCACGCCGGCGGCAGGGGCATAAAAAACATGTTGAATTACGGTCTTCAACGGATGCTCGGGCACGTGGCTGCCCTCGCTGCAGGCGTGGCGACCGCCAGCGTCGCCCACGGATCGCGGCGGAGCGCGAGCCCGGGCCGAAAAAGGATGGCGCCACCGACGCCGCAGCGGGCAGGGGCTGACCGAGTAACCCCCGATAATAAACCTCGGCCTCGCCGCCCCCCACCGATGACCAAAGGTGTCCTGGCTGGAGGTGAATCATCTCTTTTGGACGCCCGAAATGGGCACGGAAAGAATGGGTACAAGGCCCAACAACAAATGTTGTCCCAAACCAACAGCGGCCGCTGTTGGGCAGGCGGCCTTCTGTCTCAAATGAACCCAGGCCGCGGCGGCGCGGACAGCGAGTCCTGTTCAAAATGAACAGGACCTGCTGTGGGGCATCGTACCCATTCTTTCCGTGCCCATTCCGTTCGTGCAGCAACTCTACGGCGCTATGGGGGGGTGCATTATTATCTGGGGCACGCGGTTACTGAGAAGCCAGCAGCAGCAAATTGCGTCGGACGGCCGGCGGGGAAGCTCGGGAGCGGCCAAGAGGGGGGTGTCCAAGAGGGGGGGGTGCAAATCATGGCCGGCGGCACGTGCGCGGCCCAGCGGGGGGGCCTGGGACGTAATGAAATAAGAAGAGGCGCCATGAAATCTGGGGAAATATCATGGCCCGCGCCATGAAATCCACCCCCCCCCCTAGTCATCACCCCCCTCTTTTCCGCTCCCGAGAAGCACCAGTCACATGGAGCCCCGGCCGCCGGGTGGGGATGTGGTGCTCGCCTGCGTGCACTCGCCGTGCTCACTGGTGGTGCAGCGGGCCCGCCGGCTCCGCGCAGAAGTGAGGCAAGAGTGACCGTCGGTGCCCGGCTCTCGGGGGGGTGCGCGGGAGGGCGGAATCCAAGCATCGGGGATGGACAGACCACCCCAACCCAACCCGAAGACCCGAATTTCGGGTTGGGGGGGGCAAGGGTTCCATATGTGTTTTCTCGATGTTCCCCGACCACCCCCCCACTGGATCTCGAGGGTAAATTTGAGCCTTCGGGTTGGGTTGGGGTGGTTTGGTGGGTGGCGAGCATCGGGGATGGACAGACCTCCCTTTAGTAAGACGTGGTTTGGTGAACACGACTTCGGACCCAAACCTGGCGGGCGCAAGCCTGGAAAAGAATAACGGCCGCGGCGCCCTCTCGAGAGCCGAAAACGGACAATTCACTACTCGACGTGTCAGGGTAGGAGGTCTGTCCACCTCCGAAAGCAGCCCGAGCGCGCCAGCCAGCTCTGGCGAAACCCCTGCGGGCCCACTCCGGGGGTCACTCCGGCGCAGGGTCACTCTTGAGCGCAGCCAGGTCCGTGCGGAGAAGGTCCGCGTCGTGGAGAGGCCACGACGGGTCCGTGCGGAGGAGGTCCGCGTCGTGGAGAGGCCACGAGCTGCTCGCACGACCGGAATCGGCCGAAACCAAGCGCTGGCCAGACCCCTTCTCCGATCCCGACCCCGCCCCTCCCTGGAGTAGCCCGTCACTGTCGCTGTCGTCGCCGCCATCATCGCTGCCGTCGTCGCCGTCATCGCCGCCGCTAATGGCGCAGCCGCCGTCGTCGCGGCCGCCGCCGCCGGCATCGTCGGTCCCCTCCCCCTCGCCACAAGACGGCGGCTGTGATTCGAGCTGCACCCGAGCCGAGCGGCGACGGACGCGGACTGCCCTCGCGCAGCTTCGCTGCGGTCGCCGCCGCTCGACGTAGTCGCCGCCGCCGCCGTCGCCGTTCTCCTCCTCCTCCTCCTCCTCCTCCCCCTCATGCTCCTCCTCCTCCTCATCATCTTCGTCCTCCTCCCCCCTCCTCCTCCTCCTCCTCCTCCTCCTCCTCCTCCTCCTCCTCCTCCTCCTCGCCTCGTCGCTTCCTCGCCTCGTTGCTTCCTCGCTTCCTCGCTTCCTCGCGTCCTCGCTTCCTCGTCTCCTCGCTTCCTCGCATCCTCTCTTCCTCCCCTCCCTCCTCCTCCACCTCGCACTCCGCCCTCATACCTCATCCTCCCCACTCCTCTCGACTCCTCTTCCTCTCACCTCGCTGTGCGCCTCCGCCGCCTCCTCCTCCTCCCCGCCTCCGCCTCCTCCTCCGCCTGCTCCCTCCTCCTCCTCCGCCTCCTCGCTCCTCGCTCCTCGCTCCTCGCTCCTCGCTCCTCGTCGCTCATCGCCTCTCCTCCTCCGCCTCCCCTCCTCCTCTCCTCCTGCCCCTCCTCATCATCCTCACTCTTCCTCCTCCTCCTCCTCCTCCTCCGCCTCCTCCACCTGTTCCTCATCCACATCGCTCCTCGCTCATCGCTCCTCGTTCCTCGCTCCTCTTCGCTCCTCGCTCATGTTCGCTGCTCTTCGCGCCTCTTCGCTCCTCCTCGCTCCTCTTCGCTCCTCTTCGTTCCTCTTCGCTCCTCCTCGCTCCTCCTCGCTCCTCCTCGCTCCTCCTCGCTCCTCCGCCTCCTCCTTACCCTCCTTATATTCGTAGTATTGTTCTTCTCATTGAAGATATTAGTCATAAGATTAGTAGTGGTATGCTTCTTATTGGTAATAGGATTCGCATCCGTAGTCGTAGTTGTATCATTCTTACTGTTATGGTTCGTATTAGTATTGGTATTATCATTCTTATTAATATAACCAGTACTCTTCTCCGTACTGATAACAGTCTTCGTATCTTTTATATTACTATTCTTCTGATTATTAGTATTAGTATTACTATTATCAGTACTAGTAGTATAGTAGTAGTAGTAGTAGTCGTAGTAGTAGTAGTAGTAGTAGTAGTAGTAGTAGTAGTAGTAGTAGTAGTAGTGTTAGTAGTAGTAGTAGTAGTAGTAGTAGTAGTAGTAGTAGTAGTAAAGTAGTTTGTAGTACTCCATGTAAGTAGTAGTAGTAGTATAGTAGTAGTAAGTGTAGGTAGTGGTAGTGGAGTGGAAGTGGTAGTGGTAGTGGATTGGTAGTGTAGTAAGAGTAGTAGTAGTAGTAGCAGTAATAGTAGTAGTAGCAGTCGTAGAAGTATTAATAGTGGTCGTAGTAGTAGTAGTAATAGTAGTAGTAGTATAGTAGTAGTAGTAGTAGTAGTAGTAGTAGTAGTAGTAGTAGTAGTAGTAGTAGTAGTAGTAGTGGTAGTAGTAGTAGTAGTAGTAGTAGTAGTATGCGTCGTCTTCATCGTCCTCCTCCTCCTCATCCTCATCATCATCCGCCGCATCTTCCTCCTCCTCGTCCTCCTTCTCCTCATCCTCCTCCCCTCTCCTCCTCCTCCTCGCCCTCCTCCTCCTCCTC